GGAAAAGCAGGTGAGTCACTATATAACTTAGATAGAATGTTCTATCGTTAAAATGATATTGTCCTACGGACCCGGTTTAACGATAGAATTCGTTCCGTGTATTCGCAATGTAGCAAAATAAACACGGGCGATAACTCGAACTCTGTGCATTTTCTATGAACAATCCAGAGAGTTCCGAATGTCAACATGGCGTTAAATTTGAAGCGAGGAAAAAACGTTGAGAAAATGAGTTGAATTTTCGTATTTATATGGATTATTTTTTAGGTTAAAAGGCATATACAGTCTCAAAAAGGTTTGTTATGATTAATTTGGTAGTTATTTTCAGTGCAACTCCTTTTGTATTCTTCAAAATCATTTCGGAGTGGATCCACTCCGATTTGCTACATTGCAAGTATATGGGACGTATTCTAACTGTGGTGAGAGCTTGTCCCGAGACACAGTTAGATTATTCTAACTATATATAACTATTTCATGCTTCTCAGACTTGGTGTGTTATTCAACAATTGTTTCTCTTCAAAGTTGAAGTGGTAGATATGAGGTGACATCGATTTATGAAATCACAAAAAAAACATATTCTATACAGTTATTTTCTTCATGCTTGCAGGTTTGTTTATTGAGCTGATTTGAAGGACGGTTTCTGGCTACCTTTCAAAACAGGTTTCCAAAGCAGTTTTTGGCTACCTTTAAAACAGGATTATAAATCTTATTTTTATACAGGACAAAAATTACAAAAAGATACAACGGCCTTGCACAAGAATATACCAGTGGCTGACAGGGAAAGTTATAGATTAAAATACTCTGGTGAGTATTAACACAAGCAAGAATAACCAGCTTGAAATGGAATTTATGTTTAGAAATATATTTTAATTTAACCTCTAGACCATGACATTTAGTTTTTCAATTTATTAATCCCTAACCTTATCAGTGTTTTCGTAAAGTTTTCCGAAAATGTTTTTCGTGAGTAATACTTGTGAAAGGGCAAGACTGTAAAAATCATTGTTCTTAGTAAGAAAATAATTTGTGCGTTGACTATTGATCGTCAAAATTACCTACATAATCTGCAGTCTTGACGTAGAAAACACAATTATATTCTTAGATGTAATAACTTTTAATTGATATGCTTTTATTCATATTCAATGCGGGTTAGAGTTAAAGAATAAATACCCAAAATAACAGAAGAATACTGAGTCAGGAAAATAGGCACGATATTTCCGTATGGTTGCAGTGACCACATCAATAAATGGCAACCTCTCAAGCCCATGCACTTTGTGCGAATGAGTCTCTTTAACGATACACCTAGACGTAGGCGTAGTCATGGACATCGATCATACAATAGTCCAAATAAACACGATGTTTTGATTCACTTTTGCCTTGCGTCAATAAACAAATACACATACACATTCGCACTAAACTCTACTCAGTTCCCAAAAAAATTTTGAATGAGCTATTTGAAGAAGCTAAAACAATTCCATGCTTAGAATACGAGCAAGATTTGTGATTATGGATTTTGCCCAGCAAAGGCTCTCTTAGCCACCACGTGTTTGAAAGATAATTCTGAATCTACCTTTGGGTTTTTTAAACTTAAATTTGCCAACAAAGGAATAGATGCTGTAGAAATGAGTAACATTCTTTATATATTCCATATTCCAAATTAAAGCTTACAACCTCCCTTTTCTACAGATATTCCTAACCTTACAATACCTAGAATCCTAGATATTAAACGTCTAAAACTGAATCCTCTGGAATGTTTTTCCTCTTCTACTTCTTTCAAGCGATGATCTTAGAAGGTCCTAAATACAGGGAACCTCAATTTTTCAATTGGCAATAGAACTTTATTTCTATTATGAATTCTATCAAAGATTATGTCAGACGTTGGGATAAATATAAAAAGGAAGCCCTGAACACTTTTTCAGACTGGAAAAACTATATGTATATAAAAAAAGACGAAGATAATGAACAGCGATCATTTTTTTAAAAAAAATCTATGAACAGTACAATTGCAGAGTGTAATTGATAAATGCTAGACGAGTAGCATTCTGCCTTTTAAATTTCTTACAAGATTCTTTGATACATGTATATTTCTAAATAATTTAATTGTATGGTAAACAAGATGATTTCAGCTTTTCCTTCCTCAATTCTCCGTTTTATGTGTAAATATTCAGTTATCGCCTACATAGGGTGTTTACCTCTCCAAACCTATTCGGTATTCAGGAGTATGATATGAGTACGATCAAAACTTAAACAATGACAAGCTATTGACAGATAAGCTGATGTTGCAGGGATTTCAACATCCTCGTTAAGCGTAAGCATTTCGTAAAAAATTTAACTTTTTATTGGGCCGTACTTTGACTTACGTATTGCATACCAATTGTTAGCCCTTTGTTTTTATACTGAATATGATTACGGAATGTATCTGATTAATGCAAAGTGCCTACGGCGGGTGTGACTGGTCAACAGGGGATGCATAATTCCTCCTCTTCGGCACCTGATCCCATCTTAAGAATTTTTACGGGTTCGTGTTTTACGCCCTGTTTAAGACTTTTTGAGATCGATCACTCTTCTTGAAGAGAAAACTCTTCAATCTTCCTTCAAACAGTGTTTTTCTTAGTTTAATAGGCGTATTAGAAAGATACGCTTTGCCTTTGTCAAATATTTTTCCCCCAAATTTTAACACAGCCAACAGGAGTAGACTGAGAACAACTCAAAACGACCAAAACTTTCAACTGATAAAATTACAGAATATTACCTTTGAACTCTTTTGTTCAACTACAACTACTACTTACTGAATAAATGGATGGAGCTGAGTTTTGTAAAAAGTTATAAAATCTGCTTTTAGAGTAAATTCATTTCAATTTTAATTCAAATATTGCATTAAATACCTTATATACAATTAAAACACACTGATATAAATGAAAAATTACGTAGAGCTGAACTATCATGGTGTGTCTTAACATCATATTTTCAATACGTACATGTATTTTATTTAAGGCCGACATCCATCAAATTCGTCGAAATCTTTAGGGTGAGTTATCATGCACAGACGCCTGAGACCAAGACGCAAGTTGCCATAATATGAAGCATTGTTAGGCCTATCTAAAGAGATAATCTATCCATATTTGTAGATCGATTTAGTCAATCAAATTAGAAAAGAAAGTTTAATTTTAAATGAAGCATAAATTTATAAGCATTTTGGATATTTCAAAGGTCATTGCGATAAAGGTAGCACGTCTTTGCGATGCATGGTGAGTATTGTCTATCCATGGTGAAAATCTGGCTCAAACTAAAATCGTTTTTAGTGATATTTTCTCAATAAATAGCATAATGTGTCAATAATTCATATTTTAATCGCTTATTACATGATGAACTCCATTTTGATAATATTTAGTTGGAAGCGATATTGCTAATACTTGTTCAAGTATGAAAATGTCCGCTGGATGGTAATCTCATTATACTTTTCTCGTAGTTCTCTGCAAAGTGCAGGACCTGAAAAATTGTTCAAACTACCACAAATATGATGGTAGGAAATCTACCTCTGGATTCTGGGAATAGGGAGGACTTTAAAGAATTATTTGAATTCAAATTACATGTAACATAAATTTCCGACTCACAAGAGAGTATCATCCTACGTGAATACATGAAATGTTTGTGTTATTTTTATCAGGTTCATAAAAATTATTTTCTTGATAATTATAACTCTTTCAGCAAAATTTCATAATTATTATTTTTTCATGTTATTCAGGTAAAAATATCAGAGAATACCATGATTACACACATATAAAACATAGCAGATAAAAAATAGGCATAATGCAACTTGAGAAAGGTCTATTTAGGAAAATATTTTTATATGAGCAACATGGCATACGATGATAAATATTACTTAAGGATAATCCATAATAGCTTTCTTCCAATCGGGTCCTTAAATTATAAATAGGTAAGTAACTTACAGAAAAATTTACATGGAAAAAATTACATAATAGAATTCAGGCAGGGTACTTCGAATTGCATAATTAATGCTTTGAAAAAAATGTTTCTTAGGTTATTCATTCATAACTTTAAAAAACGATTACTATAATCACTTTGAAAAATTAAGTTGATCAAGTCATCATATAGTTACTCTTGTATTTGTGGCTAAAAAGGATCGATCTTAATATTTTTTTTTAAAATTTTTGCTTAGAATCTACATCCTTGATCTCTAATTATAAAAATACATTCCAGTCTTTAATAGAATTGTAGAAAAAACATGAAGACTCTTTACCTTTTATCTTAGGTATTAAATTTCTACTGAAATAATAAATTAGTAGAAAATGGTCACAGAGATAAGCTAGTGTAAGAGTGTCAAAAGCCTTTTGTAAATCTAACATTATTAAGCCTGTAAAAAGCCCTTTAGAGGTATTACTTCTAATATAATCTAACATGTGTAATAAACAAGTATCTATAGAAAATTATTTCTAATGATAGAGTACAAAGAGAGCATTTGAAAAACGTATTTAGTTACCAATATTATGAGGTTCAACAATTAATTTGAAGTCAAATACATTGTCAATTGATTTGAAATAAATATTTGTATTTATTGATTCGAAGTTTATGATTGTAGCGTGTTGCAGTCTGTAAACGGCGAAACCTGATATACCACATAAAATATTTTAATGAGTTCTCGACTATCGTTCGATTTAAGCATCCGATCGCAATATTCGACTGAGCTGTCTGAGTAAAATTGACATTCCTAGCATATATATTTGAACAAATCTAGATCTGGTGAAGGTGGGTACTTAGTGTACAATCTTGTATAACTGATAATAAATCAGAACAATTGATTATTTTATATCTAACGTAGAACAAACACTAACATATGGGTCTTGTTCAGTGTAATATTTGCCACAGCTTAACAGGTAGCCATTGTGCCATCTTTACATACTTTTCCTTTTGATAGCTTATATAAAACTGATTTATATTTAACAAATAAATAACATTTTATTGCAGATCAGAGAATAGAGCTAAGAATGGATCCCCAAAATGCTGACCAGAAGGTCCCCCGATGTGATCTTTGTGAAGAAAATGTTGCACAGATGTACTGTAGTTTTTGTCCTACGAATCTATGTAAGCTATGTGTCGGAGAACACATTTCTGATGTCTATAGTAAGCATAATGTGGTACCCCTAAATATGAGAAAATCTACGCTTCTGTACCCTCATTGTAAAATCCATTCTGAAGAGCACTGTGAAACTCTTTGTGAAGACTGTAACATTCCAGTATGTTCCAAATGTGTCGCATCTATCAGGCATGAAAGGCATCAGTTTGTATGTTTAAAAGCCTTAGTGAACTTCAAGAAAAAATGCATGGAGAAGGAGAAAATGCAATTGCAAGAAACGATTATCTCATCATTAAAAGAAATTGTTTCCGATTTAAAATCCGAGTTAGGGGGCATAGATGGAAAATATGAAAAACTTACATCAGATGTTACAAAACATGGAGAAGATTGGCACAGAGAAATTGACATGGCTATAATAAAAAGGCAGACTGAAATTCAGGAGATGAGAGATAAACACAAAGATACTCTGACAAAGCAATTAAATGTAATTGAGAAACTGATTTCTGATGTCAAAGAATCTATATCTAAAATTGAAAAAGTTCTTCACTCAAATGAACTTTTAGAATCGTTGTCTTTTGAAATTGGATCAGATGAATCTATTAAATTTCCACCTAAACTGAATGTGAAACTTCCAGGATTTACCCCACAAAATATTCAAGGACAGTGTTTACAGTTATTTAGTATTTTATCACCGTTATCTATCACTTCAGAAGAACATGGCTATACAATAAAAACACCTAGAAATCTTTCTTCTCCTCCAGTCAAACCACTACTTGATATACCAAAGGTCATCATTACCATAGAAACTGGATATGGTGATGTATATCATATTACCTGTTTTAGTGATGAAGAATTTTTCACGCACGGGGATGATAAAACCATTAGACTGTACAACATCGAGGGAAAGCTGCTGAAGTCAATCCAAACAAAGTCAGAGAACGAACCAGCTGATATAACAGTGATAAGAAGAGGAGACGTTGTATATTCTGATGCCGGTACAAGAACTGTAAACATTGTGAAGAATAGAAAAATAGATGAAGTGATAAGACTTTATGACTGGATACCCCACAATATCTGCAGTATTTCCTGTGGTGACCTTCTTGTTTTCATGTCCACTGAGGATAAACAAAAATCAAAAGTAGTCCGGTACTCTGATTTCAAAGAGAAACAAAGCTTTCAGGTTGATGATCAGGGTAAGCCTTTGTACTCAATCGGTAACCTTAAACATATAAGTGAAAACAGGAACCTAGACATCTGTGTGGCTGACAATGGTGCAAAAGCGGTAGTAGTGGTCAACCAAACAGGGAAACTCCGATTTAGATACACTGGCCATCCGTCTCGAGCTAAGAAATCATTTGATCCAGTGGGCATCTCTACAGACAGTCAAGCACAGATCCTGATTGCGGAGTGTGATAACAACTGTATTCTCGTCCTAGATAGGGATGGAAAGTTCCTCCGTTACATTGATAACTGTGATCTGCTCTATCCCTGGGGTGTATGTGTTGACAAAGGAGACAACCTTTTTGTCGCTGAGTCAAGTGGTAAAGTGAAGAAGATTAAATATATTTAGGCCAAAGTTTTTTTTCACTTGGTTTACGATTCCGCCGACCCTAATTTTCACCAATCATGAAAATAAAAATAATGTCTTTTTCCGACATATTTTTCCGGATTTTTCTCAGCTGAGCTGGTGGGTTTTAAATTTTAGAATGCATCTTAGTCAAATAAGCGTTTATAAATTATATAGAACTTTACAAACATTTAGGTGACCGTAAATAAACACATGTGCAAACCAAAAATGGCGGTTCTGTCATGTAACAAGGTAATTCCTCACTGAAAGCAATGACACACACTTAAAGAACTTTTTCTGCATGGAAAAGTGAATAAAATCTTGGATGCATGATCCCTTTCTCCAATTGCAATGTCTCAATTGGCTAAATTCATACAGTAATATTGAGAAGTGTATGCCCAACCCTGATCGACCTAACAGACATACACCTATAGATAACAGGGATTTATCAGTGCCTTCTCAGGGGCCGAAATTCGGCCCCATTCCCAATTGAAAATGAGTTCAGTTTTTCCCAATTTGGCAGTATTTTTCCCAGTTGGTGAACACTGAACAATGCTTTTATTTTTAATTATCTTGGAAAAAAAACAAAGTAAAATTGTCAGATTGTCTTTAATTTTCATCTATTTAACTCATTTATTAAAGCTACAGTCATAACACATGTTTAAAAACACTGTAAAAACATCGCCAACTTTTAATCCGAATTTCCTCCGTTTTTCTAAAAATGATGATATTGTGTAATTATATAGATTTATTAAGTTATTTCCACCTACTCAATTGATCTGCGAGTGAATGGTAAGGACTTTAGGCATTATTTCAGATAGAAAAATATATTTTCAATGCATTAATACATATTAAAAGAGGACTTTTAGAAAATGTGTACTTAGTATAATTTTTGCAGGAGGTTTATAATCTCCAGAAACAGATTCACTATAATGACCTAAATTGAAATCTCATACACACATGTACATGTACTACCATAAGTTTTATAAATACTTTATACTCATTGAAGTCCATTTTACTTTTATTAGTCTATTATTCATAATTAATCTTGTATGATGAAGATGGATCATATTTAATTGTCGTTTGGTTGCCCAAATTAGAGTTCATGCTGAAATGTTAAATGAATTACCCCTGAATACATGATTTAGCAACATTTTAAATTTTTTTTCCAATTTCATCAAATAGACAATAATTTGTTTACCCATTCCCCAAAAATGGCATTTCCCAAAATAGGGAAATAAATCCATGCATGATCAAATTATTATAACCTTTATTTCAACGTCAATTACTTTTAATATTGTTAAACAATTAAATTGTATTTTTCTTCAATCTAAATTAAACTTAAATTTGGATCCATATTTTTAGTTTGTGGGGGAACTGAGGTTTATAACACATCACATATCACTGAAGAGCATATAAAGAAGTTGAACATTATGAACCAAGCACTGATTGACATACAAAAATCAGAACTAAATGAAAATGACATTCAGTCTAAAGTTAGAAATGAATTAAAATTAAATAAAAAGAGTTATGTGATCTAGACAATAAAACTTAAAAGTACTACGTGTATTGATGTGTATTATTTTTATTAAAATAAACATTGCTGGTATTTTAAAATGAAATTGTTGAATCCTAAATTATTTTTATTTTTATTTTTCGACCACCCAATGCATTTTTTTGAGACAGAAAATCGTAAACCAAAAAAAAAATAAAAACTTTGGCCTTAGTAAGATATGCACCTTTGGATGTTCAGCACTATACATGGGTGCATTGTGTATAAGGTTGCTGTTCATCTTGAATATCTAGGGCAAGGACTTAAATTGAAATTTTGCAAGAACTGGGGTTTTGAGAATTCTACGGCGAACTGTACGCACGTAATTTACACACATATGACATTATCCTTGTGTTACCCGTTGTAAAGTGTGTTGCTAATGCTGAGGGTAACATTACGAATTAAATAACATTACGAATAAAATAGAATAAAATAAATTATCAAATAATTAAAAGATGACATTTCTGACAGCATTTTTGAAAGAATATAAATTTTCCATGAAATTAGAAAAAATTAGAAGTATCTTGTCTCAGAGCGGGGGATTGTCCTCGCCTTGTACTCCGTATTTCTTTGATAAAATTTGTTCGTTTGTTCACCATTTATTAGCAAGGATCAAAATTGGCATAATTGGCGATGTTAAGATTACTAAGTTGAACACCACCAACATTTAAAACTGCTATATAGAAAAATGTGCAATCTCTTTTGGCTGTCATGGGCAATACCATTTATATTTCATATGAATGAATTACCTCTCTGTTGTAATCTTCACTTTAATTTTAGATATTTGTTATAGTTAGATTTGAAATATTTAAAATGTATTGATTTTTTTTATTAAATGCTGAAATTTACCTTGTTTTGTTTTGACTGCAAGATCAGCGTGATCAACAATTAACAGGATTAAGCAAAGTTCAGTATTTGTATAGCAATTCAGGGTATCATTAACAACGCCTTAAAAACGAAATTGAGACCATTCGCAAATAAAATATTTATTTTGAAATTGACCGAATATTTTCATTATAGGAAATAAAGCTAATATTTTTTTAAAATTATAAACGGGATATTGAATTTTACGATACCGGTAATATATGAATAATATATGAATGTTTTGATAGATTATATTGCATAATAATATGTATATAATTCATTTCATCAATAAATTGTCAAGACTATCTTTTACTTACTTAATTTTCATTTATTTATTCATCTGGACTATTTATTCAGCATATCCTTAAAACAATTAATGTTGACGTATACACATGTGCATATATAAATACGTCTATGGTAACAAAATGATTTTGCATATACACATTTAAAATTTTACATATTTCTTTCCAAAGTGTGCATTTAATTTATTCATAAATGCATATTAGGCTTTAAAAATTTTGGTTGCACTTTTTAGGTTCACGTCATACAATATGTCACTTTCCATGATTAATGACAATAATTTAGATATTAATAACCTTGTCATGTCCAATTTAATAAAGTTCTGATCAACTAAACATTATTTTCAATAAGTATTTTAAAGTCGTCAACAGCTGGGCTACAAAGGTTTCAATATTGCAGTGGAAAATCCCTAATCTGAGCCCGTGTGTCTCTACATACGTTACCTTGGAAAGGCATGACAGCGTGTGTGAATATATGGATGCCCACACCAACATCCGTATCTGGTGATTTTGGAGATCTCAACCAAAAGAAAAGTCGATGTCAACAAATAAACGATTCTGAAAGTATATGGCCTATTCCATAATCTCTCCTCACCATTTTAAAATCTTTATTTTGATTAAATCACATGTCATGTTACACTTAAGTTAAAATAATCATCAAAAAGAAAACTCTGCTATCATGTCTGTTATTTTCACACAGAATTAAAAGGCAAATGCTGCTCAACTTCTTTATTAGGTAGAAGAAAAATATTGACTAACAGTGAAAGTATGTTACAATGACAGTCTCATCACTCCATCTTTTATGGAATAACCATATTTGCTGTCATTCAAAATGACTACTCCGAAGTTGTGCTCTGAAATGGAATCCCATTTATGTCCAAAGACCTGAAACAGCGTAACATGATCTGAGTGAAATGTATCGAATTAACCGTCTTGTAATTCAGAACGAGCAATGATACCTCAAATTGAAGCCTAAAAAGCACATAAATAAGTGGGTTATAAGTTATATTATTTTCATAAAGAATAACCACCTTATGACTACTGACCTCGAATTGTACCCAATCACAAGGATATATTTTTATATGTCTGATTGGTTTTCTGAAAATGACCAAACTGGACTTCATACGAGGCACTCATGAAGTGTACAGATGTTGGAAACTCCACATTTAGGAATTTTCATGTCATTTCACATACATATATAGTTCCAGGGAATTTTTGTGAAATAATAAAGTATTTCATATAACGATAAGTTATTTTAGATCTCACAGTCTATTGCAAATGGATACTAGAGCTGATGATAATTCATTTCAATGTAATTGTTTTTCTCATCTGAGCTTACCTGAGTGTGACACCTGAGATATGGACTGCCGGCGTCCAGACTGAGACCTCACTGCTCAATGGGCGTTGAGTCCTGGGCATAGGTCTAAAATTTGCAGCCCTCCACCGACAAGAGGTGACGTCTCAATATGAGTGAAAAGTTTTCGAAGGGACGTTATACAAAACAAAACAAACAATTTTCAATTTATTAAGGCTTGAGGTCATGTGTTTTCAGTTTCTAGCCTTGACATTTGCAGGTGTACAATTTCTTGGAAAAATGTTAACCACAATCATGTCCCATTTAAATATGTATCTACACACTGTATGCTCCTTTGATGAAACAAGATTATAAACAGTCTCCATTTAAGTCATCATTTGCAAGTTCTATGGTCGAATATAATAACCTTGTCAGCATCTACAATCTATCATTAAGTCGAATTCTGATTGACGTTTTTCATACTTATTGCTAGGCCATTATTTACACATTGCACGTTCTACGAATTTTTCCGTTTTGCCGATTATGACAAGGAGCACATAGCGGGTGTGACCAATCGTCCGTTGATATTTACTCCCTCATGGCATCTGATATAACCTCTGATGTTTTAGAGGTCCGTTTTTCTCTGCTCTTAGTTTAGATTGTTTCAATAACCTTTTTAGCTTAATTACTGTTCGTTATCTCCATATTTAGTGCTCAAGCAAAATTAATGCCTAGGACATCGTCCGATGTGGTATCTGTGAAGACAGTGTAGCAGTTTGTATTCAGTGTAATCTATGTAAAGGAAACATATTTTTGTTAAGTCTAGAAAGCATGATGTGGTATCCTGAATTCGAGAAAATCCAGGATTGTGCATAACCTTATTGTAAAATCCATTCTGAAGAGCACTGTGAAACATTAAAAGATTGTGACGTTCGAGGATATTCAAATTGTGTTATTTCTGAATAATTTAATTTTGTTTGTATTCTAGCCTCTGATTGGTTAATATCCAAAAAGGAACACAAATTATTTCTGTATAACCTGGTTTGATATGGGGACCCCCCCCCCCCCGACAACCAGCTGAATCATCTGTATCCATACAATCTTCTCATTTCCAGTCCTCGGGATTCATGGAAAATTCCAGATTTAATAAATGTACCTTTAACTTAACAATAATTCGATCTTATCACATGTAAACAAACAACAAGGCTGCCGCTAGGCCTATGCATCAGTTTTTACCTCCCCTCGCTTCCCATCACTTCCGTTACTTCCGTTACTACGGTTGTATTGAACATATGTTGATCATATGTTTAACATATGTTGCTTATATGTTTTAAACTAATAAAAAGCAACGAAATTTTAATGATTTAATGATTTTAAAATTAAATTATAAGGAATGACTCTAATTCCTAAACAAACACAAGAAGCATCATTTCATAAGTTTACAAGACATAGTTAACTCAAAAAAAGCGAAGAAAGATAACATGCGATTAAAGTTATCACAACATTTAAAAATTGGTTTTTGATTGAAAATCGCAGTAAGAAGGCTTAGATGAAAAATAAGGAAAACTTGCATCAGATGTTACAAAACATAGAGAAGAATGGCACAGGGAAAATGCCATGGCTATCAAGATATCAAAATATGAAGAGAACTTCGGGAAAAACAAAAAGATACTCTTACGAAACAAGTAAATGTCATTGAGAAACTGAATTCTGACGTAAAAGAATCTTTATCCGAAATTCAAGATATTCTACAAACAAATGAAGTTTTTTAATCACTGTCTTACAAGATAAGGAGCGATGAATTTATCAAACTACCAACTAAACTCATAGTAAAGCTTCCAATTTTACCACTCAAAAAATTTCAAGAGAGAGTTTTGAATTATTGATTTGGTTCTTTATTGGCACCATCGATCAAAACGGAAGAACATGACTACACATTAAAGACGATCAGAGTTGCGTTTTTCCTTCATTTAAAACAACTGCTTGATGACCCTTAGTTTATCACCTCCATAACAGCTCTGTATGATCAAGTTTACATTGTTACTTTTCTCACCGATGAAGACATTTAGACACGTGGGATTGACAAAATCATGAAACTTTACAATACCCAGAGCAAATTTAATTTAAAAAAAAAGTCAGGACACAAACCATATGAATAGAAGTAATAAAAAGTTGAGATCTATGTATACTGATCCTGAGGCTAGAACAATTTTAAAACATAGTCTAGAATTAAAAGATACAGGAAATAATCAAATTACAAGGATGGGAACCTTACTCTGTCTGCAATACCTCCACTGACGACCTTTCGGTTACAATGCTTAGTATAAATACAGAACAATCAAATGTTGTCCGTTATTCTGATTTCCCAGACAAACAAATCATTAGGTCTGATGACAAAGGCAGACCGCTGTACTCATATACTTACATAAAATACTCAGTACATATGTGAGAACAGTAACCTGAACATATGTGTGTCTGACTTTGGGGCACAAGCTGTAGTGGTGGTTAATCAGAAGGGAAAACTCCGATTTAGGTACACTTGTCCTCCCCTAACCACCAAAGGGACATTCAATGAAGCAGTCAAGCTCAGATTCTAATAGCAAACAATAACAACAACTGTATCCACATCCTAGACCAGGATGGTTAATTCCTCCGTTATATTGATAACTGGGATCTTAGCTGGGGTTTATTTGTAGAGACAAGTGACAATTTTTTCTGGCTGATTTAGGAGGATGTGTGAAGAAAATTAAATATATGTAGTAAGAAATGAATTGGAATGCATTAAATCAATCATGTTCATGGTACATATTAAGTGCATTGCTTTTTATAACTATACATGTGATACCACTATGATAAATAAATTACACAACTCTTCTCCTAGCTTTTATAAACAAGTCTTGAAATAAAGATGTGAAAGGTTCATTCTAAAGAGCATATTTCATATGTGAATATATTGCCTCCTATTTGAAAGGTTTTAAAAAAATGTGAAACATCATAGTACTAATAAAGTCCTTTAAATCTCTATAGGATAAAGATCCCTCACTGAAACGGTAGTAAGGGCCCTGCGATATGCATGTTCAAATTTGTGGCAATTCATCTAAAGCAGGTAACGTCTCAACATGAGTTAAAAATTCTCGAATGGGGCATTAACCAACATAAAATAAATCAATCATTTCGCATTTTCACACTGTAAGGATTCAGTGTGAATAACATTTGAGGGTGTGTATACTTATATATTTACATCCCATGAATATTATCTCCTTTATTTCTTCTGAAACCAATCAATCAGTAAACGCCGCTAAGGAAACCACCTGTATAGGGCTCTAAATTCGCTCTTGAGTACATCTTGACCTATGATTTTAACAAGAGGAATAAAAAATAAATTATTTAAAAAATTGAAATAAGAAATGTTTTTCATTGAAAAGTATATTGCAAATATATAAAAAAGATATAATAAGCAGATTTTTTCATCAACTTACTTTTTTTTTTAAATGAATTTGATAATTCTACTAAAATTACGCATGTGAAGGGGGACATTTTCAACAAGCATTCTGAGAGTATTGCATTAGCAATACTAGTCCCCTACCGGCAAGTGTAATCTGGTTCCCGTTAAGAATTGAAAATGCCATAATTCCGTCAAAAATTAATGAAGCGGGATGAAATGCAAACTTGATCTATAACTAATCAAGGTAAAGCCACATACCAAAAATCAGCTCAATATCTACAAGCGTTTAGAAAAAAATTGCGGAAAACCCGTAAAAATTGAAAAGGCCGTAATTCCGTCAAAAATCAATGAAGCGGAACGAAATGCAAACTTGATCTGTAACTCATCAAGATACAATCACATATCAAAAATCAGCTCAATATCTGCAAGCGTTTAGGAAAAAAGTGCGGAAAACCAAGTGGGACAGACTGACAGACAGACAGAGGGACAGACGGACAGACGGACAGACAGACAGACAGACGGACGGACAGACTCAGAGGAAACCTATAGTCCCCTCCGGTTTCACCGGTAGGGGACTAATAATGTCAAAATAAAAGACAAATATACGGCCATAATACCTTGTACACAGAATATCTTCATTCACTACAGCGACTATTTAGGAAGAATAAAATTAACATGTAAAAGTATTTTAATGCACTTAAATGTCTCAAATAAGAGAAAACTTGGAATTTATTTCTTCTCATATTTTGAACGTAACGTCTGTCAGTCTCAATACACCGGGTACATTGTCATAAAATAGGCCATTGTTTATGCAAACTATTTTATCTTTCTTGTCTACAGATAGAAAATTTACGTATTTATCAATTAAGTGATCGCAGATTCAACAGAAAAGCACGTGTGCTTAGAAATTAACAAATCTGTAGGATGCTTCCTGTGTCTGTCATGGCAAGTGGGCATTACGTTCTATTTTAAGAATGGAGCTCGGAGATGCTTCTTCTTATACATTTGACTTAAAGGTTTTAAATATTTAAATTTTCTCCAGTGTTCTATACAAATGTGTTTACATTTCGATAGGAAGAGCTACCGAGAGAGCCCGAGAGGCCACGAACGTTTGTCTGTCAAGTGTTACGTTACACAAAGTATGTTACGTACATAAAAATATAAGTTGTCTTTATCCTAGATTTTAAACACATATCATCAAATATTGCCAACTAGTAGGTGTATTTTGGATTTTTTTTTTGAATTATAAATTTGCACACTCTGCATCACTACATAAACACCTAAAATTTGACATTTTTAACGTACCAATTGACAGACATTGCCTGAATACTATCGTAACGGTGACGGACAAAACGAATGTCTGTTCATGTTACGTGAATCAAACGGGTGCATTCAGATTTATACGTTCAATGAATTAAACCAGAAAGTATTTTTATTTAAGAATGTTAATATATCATAAGCAGAATTTGTCTATATAACTTAAACAATACAATTTTGTAGTTGTTTTCTTGCGGTTTTTAAAACGAGTCTGTCAGGGCTACGTGCATCCGTACATGTTACGATTTAGGTTTGATCTATATAAGATAATTTATTTTTTTTTTAAATTTCATTAGTATTTTCATAAATAATAATATCTTGTGTATTATAATTTCCAAGAATAAAAGATAAGCTTTGAATGATAAGTTTTAATGGCTCATTTCAAACAGGTATTGCTCAAGAAATATCGTAACATGACAGACATGGGGAAAATTTGTATTTACAAAGCGTATAGCAGAGATTTATTTTTTTAAAAATCAAATTTAAAATCTATAAGAAATCAAAATTTGAATAATGTCCATTTCTTACGGCAACATTATCTTTTTGATAAAATAATGAAAGTTTATGGTTGATTTGGCTGGCTAAGTAGAGGAGTCTGTCAGCGTTACGATCATCAGTTTGTGCATCAAAAGTAGCCTAAAAATCTTTTTTCTTCTACGTAAGAGTGAAAAAAAATTGCATTGTTTAAGGAATTGTTTAATTTTATTTTTTACAGATTATTTGTATTGCTAAGCATCAGAAATGTAGTTTAATCATATCACGTTTTATTACACGTCTGTCATGTTACGTTATATGTCTGTCATGTGTTACGTGAGACACATTTCAAACATTAATAGAATATTTATTTTTGACTTAATTATCTATCCAAACATTTTTTGTCCTATTTAGAGTCAAAACTTCAAATACACATAAAGAAATCTAAGAAAAAAAGTGTCTACAAAATTCTTTATTTGTCCTCCCAGATGTACTCAAGAGTGATTTTAGAGCCATAGATTTCTTGAGCAGCGGCTGTTCCATCGATGAAACATACAATGATGCACATTTCAATAATATAATTTTTAACATACCTAATTCTTCTTTATATGATTATTTATATAGATATTAAAATGAATGCGGATTATGCATTTTTCTGCAACATTTATTTCCGTACTAACAACCAAAGAAAGCATTTTATTGTTGCTAAATATTTTCTACTGCAAATGTATCTGAATACTAATCTGCCGTAAAAACAGTGTTATCTTATGACAAAATATTGTGATATTTGAGAAATATACATGTACTTTACATATGCTATTTTGAATAATGACCAATTGACCTTCAGTCACAAACAGCTGTTCAGTAAATATTCTATTTATCTATAACACACCAGAAAGGCTCAATGAATATTTTTTCTAAGATGAACAAACATTTTCGAATCCTTGAACTTTTAAATGTATTCGAATTTACATCCCTTTTTTTTATTTACCTCAAATTTGGTGAAAATGTACATCTCGAAAATAAATCTGAAACATTACCATATGATAAACCTCGATTGCACAATTTTATATCGATTTTGTTAATAACATCTAACTTTGCGTGCAGTGGGATTTTTAAAAGCATATTGTATCTATTTGAAAAACATATGTTACAAGCACATGCAATATTGTACCACTGGAGCAGAAATGTATTAATCGATTAATTTGTACATAACTGACATAACTCAAATCGGTTCTCTAACTTCCTTGATTTGTTACACTTTGCCCCCGTTCTTCAAATACCATTGTCAATAAATGCTTAATCATAAATTGATTTAATTTTATAGGAAAGATTCGAAAGATTCATATTTCCAAAATAAATTCATAACTTTAAGGATTCACTTCAGATAAAGAGATATGAATAGGATTTGTGTCACCTGAATAGAAATTAGCAATATTCCACGAAATTGTTAGGTTCTCAGCGGAGAGTTCTGCATTTTACTAAGACCAAACACTTTATTGATCAGAATTAGAACATAAAAACAAAGAAGAGCATCGCTGCCTTGCTACCAAAATATTTAGTTTGCTTCTGAGGACGTTCGCTTTATATTCGAACTATCAATTTGCAAAGAAAATAGTTTGCATATCAATCTTCTCATTTTACATTCTAATTACTGTGTAAATAGTATATATAGAGGAACATTTGATGAGAAAGACTGTACAATAAAAATATTTAAATCATATTCCAAATAAGTAAGTATTTTCTAGAATTTTTAGAAATCTTATATGACAATATTATTAACAATTTTTTAATAAGAAAATATTTTCTGCAAATATCTTTAGATAGGTTAGATATGCTGAAGACAACGCTCCTTTTCTTATGCATATTGCTTGAAGTGTTTACAAAAGAAACCCATCAAGACTTCATCAGTAAATTCAACCAGTACAACTCCGTATGTCAAGGAATGGGATATAAAGCAGTGAATTGTTCTGAAGAAGATAAGAGTACTTAATCACTTAGAAATTTTACTACTCTCTTTTTAGAATGTTTCACATATCAAAATGTTTAAATGTTATATTAAATATAAATTGAATGCTTTTGTTCATATCAGAAATTTTATATCAAGCTTTTTAGAAACATAATATTATACTAACAAGCGCAAAATAGAATGTAGGTAAGTTGATTTTTTAAAATTAATATTTTCAAATCATCTACCATGCGTCGAAATTTGAGAAAAGTATGTTATTAGTCCCCTACCGGTGAAACCGGAGGGGTCTATAGGTTCCCTCTGTGTCTGTCCGTCCGTCTAGCTATCTGACTGTCTGTCCGTCTGTCCCATTTGGTTTTCCGCACTTTTTTCTTACCGCTTGCAGATATTGAGTTGATTTTGGTATATGAGTGTGTCTTGATGAGTTGCATATCAAGTTTGCATTTCGTTCCGCTTCATCGATTTTGACGGGATTTAGACCTTTTCAATTTTTCCAGGGTTTTCTGCAATTTTTTTCTAAACGCTTGCAGATATTGAGCTGATTTTTTGTATGTGACTTTACCTTGATAAGTTATAGATCAAGTTTGCATTTCGTTCCGCTCCATTGATTTTTGACGGAGTTATGGCATTTTCAATTTTTAACGGAACCAGATTACACTTGCCAGTTGGGGACTTGTATTCCTAATGCAATACTCTCAGAATGCCTGTTTTTTCTGTTGTTGAATATAAAGCGTAACATATTGCATTTGTTTTGAACAGATATCATTGCTTTTCATTCACTTTTGTCTAAACGACAAGAGAATCTTGGAACGAATGTTGTTGTTGTATTTGGAAACATAATACTGAACACTGGAGATGCCTATGACGGTACAACTGGTAAATTCACAGCACCTAAAGATGGTATCTACTCATTCATGTGGACCATTCTTACACAGCCTGGAAAATATTTTAACACAGAAATTGTTAAAAATAGTAATGTCATTGGTTATAATCATGCAAACGGCGAATCAGGCAGTTCGATCTTTTCTTCTGGATCTTCATCAGCTATAATAAAAATGAAGAAGAATGATCAAGTCTGGATAAGAACACATGGTGACCATGGAAAGTTTGCTTACAAAAACTGGTCCTCCTTTTCCGGATTTAAATTGTAACAGAATTTATGTTTCAAATAAAGATATTTCAACAGTTGAATATATATATCTTCTTCATAGTCATCGTCATCTTTGGATATATTTTGATACATGTATTTTACTAGAGAAGGGCATTAATGGCAAAATAACTACTAATATCTTTAATAAATGTGATGACTCAAAATTTTCTATCGTCAACTACCCTTATTTATGTAGCAGTAAACTATCAACACATGCATTTGAAGTTGATTCGATACGCAATTGCATGTACATGTATTGCTTAAAAGAAAGCTTTAATCAAAAAGCAGAAATAAAGACCTCCTGACCTTTAAATTTATACTTTGACCAACACTACACACTATATTACAGATGTATACATATCCATAACCATTGATAGGTAAATTCTTGTTATTTGGCAAGCAAACTGCTTGTTTTCAGACGTGTTAATAAACATCAACGTTATTTTCTATTTGACCTTGACCTTCGACCCTTTTTTCAAGACTACTTATCTTATGTTCTATAAATTTTGAGACGTAAGACTTCGGTAATTAGCGTTTAAAATAGATATTTATAACCAAACGAGACCTCCGTTCAAACGATTTTCATTGCATAAACCACTCAAACTGAAAGAATGGAGGTGTACAAGGAAAGATAATCTCCCTCCCCGCTTAGAGATAAACTATTTTTTAATTCAAAAAGTTCTCTTTTTTTAAGTTTTCAAAAAATGTTTTATCCACTCTTACATACTTGATTTCTTTATTTTATTTATATACTTAATTATAAAAAATTATTTTTACTTATATTTTAGGGTATGTGAAAAAAACGAGCTTCACAGATGATTCTAATTCTCCTCAAAGCTCAAAGTAAAGCGTCATTCTAAACGTCTTAACTAGTCTTTTTATTGAACAGTGTCTGTGAATGAAATATATGGAGATAACGAACAGTATTCAAGCTCAAAAGTACTTTAAACAATACAAATTATGGAGCAGAGCAGAGCAAAAACATTAGAGGTGGGATCAGGTGCCATGGAGGAATGAGCATATCCTGCCGACCGGCCACACCCGCTGTGTGCTCCTTGTTATGATCGGGAGATAACGGAAAAATCCGTCTACAATTAAGTGTGTAAATAAGTGTGTAAATAATGGCCTCACAATTAGTATGAAAGACGTCAGTCAGCATTTGACTTAAGATAAATTGTATTTGCTGACAAGGTCATTTTATGCCAACCAATGTACTTCTACATTATAAACAGCCAGAGTCCGAGCTTGTTTTGCGTAAAATAGACATAAGACCCATATTGTGTGAAAAGGTCATTTATTCACAAAAGTACATTACTCAAATTATTGAATATTATATAATTAGCATTTAGAAAATGCATCATTTGATATGATTGAATAAATGACATAGATTCGCAAAGGTGGGGATAAATAATGTTGCCACCCATCACCTCTGCAAGAGGGGATCCCCCACCCAAGGACTCTGGCAGACATGACGAGTCAAATAAAATAAAAACTAGAATAGAATAAAATAATAATGTAGCTAAAAAGGAATTGTACAGAAAAAGCGATATGCAGAATAATTCAAGCGAAAATACCTTTCATAACTAAGTAAACATTTTCATAACTAAAGCTCAAAAAGCATTTACGAGTTTTAAACTGAGCCAACCTGTGATAAATGTACATCTACAAGTAAAACATCGTAATAATCATTTAGAGGCAATTTTGAATGCCACTTAATAGGTACACACACAAGGAAATACATTTAAGTATTTCACTGCTGGCAGGCAATGCTGTCCCAGATTACAAAGATAAACATTTCTCCACATGTTCAAAATTGCTGATGTAAACCGATATTGACCAAAGAAGAGTACAGGTACATCTACAAGTTTCTCTGCTGGCAGGCAGTGCTGACCCAGCCTTAAAACCAACATAAACATATTAAATACGTAGTACTAGTGTTAAAAATGGCAGGCAGTGCTGACCCAGCAAGCTAATTTATGGTCCCCGCTGGTGGGCAATGCTAACCCATATCCTAGGGAAAAGGATAATCAGAAATTCAAAAAATGGCTCTGTTGTATTTCAAAAATTATGCATGCAAATGTACTTTAGAAATGCATCTGATTTCCATCTTCCCATATTCTGAATGACACTTAACGGGACTCCCCTTGCTGCCGCAGACGTGGCTGCTCCTACACGAAAACTATGACCTTTATAAAATCTATTATCCAGACCTATAAATGAAACAGCTGATCCAAGAACCGAGTTGAAGAACGAACGTGAAATAGGAGATCCGCATTTAAATTGAAACAGGGGACCTTTAGTGTGATTGAATGCTTCCACGTATTTGTAAAGTGCAAAAACTGGGCAAGCCTGGTTATTGCTTTGCCTTGGGATAAAAATAGTTCTAGGGTGAAGGTCACTATGTTTATAGTGAACAAGTATTATTGACATTCCCAATAATGATGAGTTGTCCCATTCAAAGGACAGATTTTCAAATTGTAAAACGGCTGAGGACTCCGACGACGACGACTTGACAGTAATCTCGCCTACTCTTAAAAATGCGTAAAAAGCCAACAGAAACATTGCAGTTATTAGCAATTGGTTATCGCAGTTTGACACGACATATGGAATTGATGAAATCAATCTTGTTAAAATATCTTTTGTTATTGGTAGTCTGCAATCCACGGAACCCCTAATATTGTGCGCACCTTTCAAAATCTTCTTTATCAAAAAATTGTTAGTAGGGTCGATAAGACTGTTAGCCTTGTGGACAAAACTAATAGCCGACATGTGTGTTGAAATTGTGGATGGGCTATAACCTTTCAAAAACAAATAGGCTATATATTGAGTCAACATAACATGGGAAGATGGAAACGCCTGACACCCAGGAAAATAAATGTTACAAAACTGCATATAGTTTTGAATAAATCTGTTATACGATGCAACTGTGGCAGATGACAATGATGCATTTAACAGGGATGTAACTAAACTATCAAGAAGTGATCTGGAATATTGGTTGGACAAGGGGCCAACCATGGTACCAATTTGTGAGCTTTCTGAAAAAGAAAGCGAGAAAGCATATCACAAATTATGTTATATTTGCCTTTGATATGTTTAGCTCGGAAAAAGATGTTATATTTTAACGCGGCTAGGACAAAACGCCTTACCAATTTCATGACTATTTTATTCTTTGATGAAGTTTTATTGATGATATCGACAACCGCAGCATTATCCGTAAACAATAATATTCTATGGTTTTTTAAATAATGTCCCCACAATTCTAAAGCTAACACTAAAGGAAACAATTCTTTGGCAGTAATATGACAAGACATCATATCGTTTGACCACTCGCCAGTTAACCATTTGCTACCAAACACAGCTGCATATCCTCCATGCACACCTGCAGCATCAGAATATAATTTAATTGTATCTGATGAAACCCATCTATCAAATAAAAAACAGGACTTCCCGTTGAAATTATCAATGAATGTAGACCAGGCATGCAAGTCTGACATAGCTTCAGCATTGAGCGTAATGCGGTATATATGAAGGACAAGAATGACCGATTGTTAGATCTATCAATCTACGTAGGAAAGCCCTGCCTGGAATAATAACACTACAGGCAAAATTTAATAAACCAATCAATGACTGGAGCTCTTGCAAAGAAATACTGCGTTTCCTCTTAAAAGTATGCAAAAGACAAGATATTTTAGCAATTTTATCCTCTGGCAAACGTGCAGACGTTGGTAACTGAGTTTTTTCATCCTTAATAGGTACACCAATATCGTTACATAATTTCAAAAATTGATCTAACGAGTGTGCACAAACACTAGTATTTTGTTTACCCACGAAGAAGAAGTCGTCCAAAAGATGTGATATGCCTACTACCCCGAAGTTCTGTGATAAAGCCCAATGGAGTGCTGATGAGAATTTCTCAAAGAGCTGACAGGAAGATGAGCAACCCATAGGTAAACATGTGTCATAGTAATATTTACCTTCCCAAACAAAGCCAAGTAAATGATAATCATCAGGGTGAATAGGGAGTAAACGAAAAGCATCCTCAATGTCTGCTTTCGCCATAAGCGAATTAAAACCATGTGATTGTACTAAACCTATAACAGTCTCTATATTTTCGTAAAAAACGGAACAAAACTCACATGGAATTGAATCATTAACTGACTCTCCTTTAGGAAAGGACAAGTCATGTATGACACGATATTTTCCTATCTCTTTTTTAGGAACCAAACCTAATGGCGAACAGACAAAATTTGGAAATGGAGGTTGATCATAGGGATCTTTGTATCGTCCTAATCTTAGTTCCTTATTTATTTTATCACAGACAATTTCAGGGTTGTCAATAGCACTTTTATGATTTCTACATTTAAAAACTGACTGTACAGAAGGTGCTGCACCAATACAAAAGCCATTGCTACAACCGGAAACTAAAAAATCTCTGTCAATCTGATTGTACCTGTTAAGGTGATACGCCAGTCTATCACACTTCACTGGTGTTCTGAGATTTTGGGGAATTCTGTGATTTTTTCGCAGAGCCGCAGGTGTCGGTCGCGTGTTTTTTGCCACAGTGCACGCACAGATGTTTGAGTTTGCACTCTTTGAAACTACACTGCCCTGTACTGCAGAATCTCCAGCAGAAACCTTTTGGGTAGCTATTGTTTGGTCGCTGCTGGATCTTATCCTGAAAGGGGGTTTTGACGCGCTTTGAATTTGAGGAGAGGCTGTAAATTCCAGATTTGTTCTGGCTTGTTGCCACCCGCCACAACTCATCATGTATAACCGACCACTCAAACTTATGAACTTGACGAAGTTTTCTAAATTCTTCATCGTAGAATTTCGCTGCCTGGAAACCATAGTCTAGTGATATTTTTCTAATGTTGTTTCCGTACTTAATGAGGTCTAAAGCAAGAAATGGATATTTTGTGATGTACAAAGACATGTAAATATCGAAGGCATTATTCCACTGATGGACGTTAAATGATGTTTTTATAGGGGTAGAATGGCAGT